ATCCTAAAGGTTCTGCCAGTCTCAGGACAGCCCCGTCTTTGGGGTTCGCAGGTGTGAATGAGACAGGGGCCCCCAGGATGGGCATGGAGCAGTGCAGCTGCCAGTTTTCCTATGCCACGTGCTTCCGGGGCCTGCAGCCAGAGACAGAGGAGGAAGGCAGAGACTCGGAAGCAGGTCCTACAGCCCCCCTCACCTCGCCGCCCTCTGCAGGAAGCCGGCTGAGCCCGCCCTGGAGGCCTGCCCGGGCCCACAGTTGCAGCGCCGAGCTCCCAACGACGAACAGCCACATCTGGCCGGAGTACTGCTCCAGGGCGCTCAGACAGCTGAGAGATGCCCCCGCCAGCATCCCTGAGGGCTTCATCCAACTCATGGAGAGCTTGCTGGAATTACAGGGCATTTTAGAAGCTTCCTGGGGGAATGGGAATAAACACCCCCCTGACAAGTGCACCTGGCACTTCGCTGAAAGCCGGAGCCGCCTCTGCACGGGCTCCCAAAAGCTCCTGTCGAGCTGTCAGCACGTGATCAGGATGGACCAGACGCCGGAGGAGATGCAGAGCGCTGTGCGGGACACCTTCCAGCACCTGGTCCAGCTGGCCGGCCTGTGCCTGCAGCTCACGGACTGCCGCCGCTGCTCCGGCCGCCGCAGGGAGGCGGCGGGGAACCTGAGGGATGTGGTGCATACCTACCACGAGTTTGTGGAGGCCGCTCGGCTGACCTGTGAGCGAGGCTACCGCGACCTGAGCGTGAAACTCTTGGCCCGTCAGTGCACGGCCCTCACGGCCGCCGTGTTCTGTTTGACCCAGAAGTTCCGGGCCTCCACTGCCCTGTGAGCAGGCCAGGCCCCCCGGCCCCCTGCTCTGCCCCGGACATTTGCCTACCCACCCCTCTCAAGTCTTTACTATTGAAAGTATTCAAATAAACTACTGCTTAATCTTTGCCTGAATTCTACGGAGTGATGACAAGTTTGGGTCAACAGCATTCACTCGTATTCATTCCACAAACATTAACTGGATACCTCCTCTAGTCAGGGCGTGTACTAGGATCTTATTCCTAAAGATGAGGAAGACAAGTCCCTGCCCCTGGCCAGGATGCTCATGGCCCCTCTGGGTGGGTACAGATAAGCAGATTGCCATCAGTAATGTGTGTACCCTAGGAGGCACATACTCTGCGAGTGTGGAAGCTAGAAGTCACATTCTGCCCCAAGAAGGCAGGGATAGGGGAGGAAGGTGGAGTCGCTGAAAAATCGTTTTCACCTCTCCCAGCACACTGATTTGGCAGGAACTTCTGCAAGTAGGAGTGAGTACCTGTGGTATGTGATAGATTCCACCTTCAGAAGTTAGGGTTTACAGCACCTCTACCTGGAGGCCTGGCATTCTTGATGGCCTCACGGCAATGAGCACAGGTTGCCACGAGGTGGCAGTAAGCACCTTGGTTACATGGCCCCCACAGCCAGGAGTGCTCCGTGCTTTACCTGAAGCTGACTGTACCCTCTATCCGATTTAGGGCTTCCCTGATAGCTCAATTGGTAAAGAATCTGCCTCCAATGCCTGGATCAGGAAGATCTGCTGGAAAATGGATAGGCTACCCTCTCCAGTATTCTTGGGCCTCCCTTGTGGCACAGCTGGTAAAGAATCTGCCTGCAATGCAGGAGACCTGGGTTTCATCCCTGGGTTGGGAAGACCCCATGGAGAAGGAAAAGGCTATCCACTCCATTATGGCCTGAAGAATTCCATGGACTGTATGGTCCGTAGGGTTGCAAAGAGTCAGACACGACTGAGCAACTTTCACTTCACTTAGGTCACTTCTATCCATTTTAAATAGCTAAAAAGGCAAATATTAAAATCCTGAACTAGATTTGCCCTTTAAAGACTAATATTAGAGCAAAAGAAATATATCTAGTACCTCTCTCACTAATTCCAGTTGAGCCAGTTAATCCCTATTAATCTTGGTGGGACCTTGATTGGACATGCCTACCTAACTTCTCAGTGCTTTGGTTTTCTCTTCTGAATATTGGAGAGATTAATAGTGTCTGCTTTGCGTGGCAGAAACTAGTAAATGCTCAATAAAAGTTAGTAGTCATGCCCAAAGTTTATGGATGCTTCTCCCCATCTGAAATCCTTTCTTGCATTTTGTTTCCCGGAAAACTGATTTCTAGATACCCCTGGGATGCCTTTCCTGGCGACTTCTCTGTCCAGGCCTAAGATAATTCAGACACCGACTTGGGGCTGTCAGAGTTCATTCAAACCCCGGGGCTCCTGGTTAGTTGTGAGCTCAGTGCACCCTCTCCTCTGAGGCTCCCTAATTCCTCTCCTTCACCCAGAAAAGGCAGCGCAGAGGTAGGGATGTTAAGTGACATACCCAAGCTCTTGTCAATCAGAAGGAAAGTGGTATTTGGGAGAGAAGGGAATCTTCCCATCACCTGTTACCAGTCACTCATTAGCTGCTGCTGCTGCTAGGTCACCTCGGCCGTGTCCAACTCTGTGCAGCCCCATAGACAGCAGCCCACCAGGCTCCCCCGTCCCTGGGATTCTCCAGGCGAGAGCACTGGAGTGGGTTGCCATTGCCTTCTCCAATGCGTGAAAGTGAAAAGTGAAAGTGAAGACGCTCAGTCGTGTCCGACTCTTCGAGACCCCATGGGCTGCAGCCTACCAGGCTCCTCCGTCTATGGGATTTTCCAGGCAAGAGTACTGGAGTGTGTTGCCATTGCCTTCTCGGACTCATTAACTAGTAACTAGTTAATCAGTACTTGTGCCAGGAGATTTATTTTCTTAGAGGCATGTTTCTTTTCGCAGAATACTTTGAATAAAATTTAAATAAGGCTCTTGAGAACAGATTTTAAGTGATTTCATGACCATGAAAGGTAGGAACACCGAAATAATAAAAATTGTTATGATGTTAAACAGGACTTGAATACTTTAACAAGCAGACATCTATGAAGAGCTACATAACTAATTTACGTGAACACAATCTATGTGTTCACAGGCTTGGGGAAGGAGCTCAGGACTTCAGTGCAATCAAGTCTTGAATCCTGGTGATCAGGGAAGGCTTCCTGTAGGAGGCAATATTAGTTGTCAAGAAGTATTTGTTGAGTAGCTACTGTGTGTCAGGTCCTGGTTTAGTAGATAGGAAGGTAAGTTATTCTCAGGAAAGGTGAAAAATCACTCATTTGTTATCCTGTGGATGAATATTTACTGTGCAGTGCCACTGGGAATATAATTATTGACATGATAGATGTATTATCAGGGAAGACAGAAAAAATATTTTTGATAGGTGAAGGTGAAATAAAGAAAATGAAGAGTGTCAAGATGGGGCTGAGATGAGCCTATCTTCCCTAGCGGGGATCAGTAAAGGTCTCTCTGAGGAGGGAAGATGTAAGCTGAAACTTAAAGGGTAAGAAGGAGCTAGGCATTTAAAAAGCGAGACAAAAGGGAACCGTACTTGCAAAGTACTGTTCAAATCATTGAAACATTTGGTGTGTTTTAATCATTTCAAGAAGACGGTGTGACTGGAACACAGCAAGCTGGAAGAAGAGTGAGAGATGAAGTTGGAGGTGCATCCAGGAACCAGACTGTGCAAGGCCTTAGGAAGGTCAGATTTGACCTTCAAGTACAAAGGGAAACCTCTGAGAGGGAGTAAGGGACACACATAACCATCTGGTAAATGGATGGGGGCAGACCAGGGTGGGCAGCGACACCAGCTAGGTGCTCCTTTCTGTGGGGAAGTGGTCATGAGCTCACAGGAAAGGTACTCAGTACAGCCGAGCGCAAGGTGCATGGGCTGGTAGTGATGAAGTTGGAGGTGCATCCAGGAACCAGACTGTGCAAGGCCTTAGGAAGGTCAGATTTGACCTTCAAGTACAAAGGGAAACCTCTGAGAGGGAATAAGGGACACACATAGGCATCTGGTAAATGGATGGGGGTAGACCAGGGTGGGCAGTGACACCAGCTAGGTGCTCCTTTCTGTGGGGAAGTGGTCATGAGTTCACAGGAAAGGTACTCAGTACAGCCGAGCGCAAGGTGCATGGGCTGGTAGGTGTGACGGGAGCCACTGAAGACCATTTTAGCCAATTTTCAAGTCCTGTTGAGTACAAAGCCAAGGCCAACTTCTGAGCAAAGAAGAGACTTTAGAGCTGGGTTTCAGAAAAAAGCCTTCTGGGGGAGGAAATCATATTTGGTTTCAGTATTTTACAAGTTGTTCCACTGGCAGATAAAGGATGGGTTAAGGCAGGGACTGGGAGCGGGAGGTGCTGGAGAAGCTGTGGAAAGAAAACGGGAGGGCCAAGGACAGATCCAACAAGGCTGTGGTTTCTTGGACGGGAGGTATTTCAGGCTCATTCAGGGTAGGGTCTCTCAAAAGGATGAGACATCTAAGACTGCAGGAATAAAGAGTGGCTGGTAGTTTTTATCAGGCCAAGGCTTGGACAAGTCACTTTAGTTTCCCCGTGGATTTGTGAGATGAGATGAAGGAGGGAGAGTGGCCAGTGGCTAGATTCATTTGTGATCTGCCCAAGCCAAGATATCTGTTATCCTGGATGGCCAGATTGTGGTGAGAGGAACTGTGTCACCCCGAGGGCTCTGCTGGCTATGGGGAAGCCAAGGGAGCCCAAGGGAAGGCAAGCTCTCCAGGATGCCAGATGAGAGGTGGTTCACGTCTGGTTTCAGTCCAGTTTCGCCGTGTTCAGCTCATAACAGCCATCAAAGCGCCTGGTCGTCTGCAGCAGCGCTGTGCGGTCGGCAAGCGGTTGAGATTGTATCCCCAGCGAACAGGCAAGGAAATTGAGGCTCAGCGAGGCGCAGCAACCTTCTAGCGGGACGCAGCTCCCTAGTACCACCGTGCGCTTGGCAGCCTAAGCCCAAGCCTTCGCCGCACACCGACCAGCCAAGCTGAAAACGACAACTCCCAGAATGCTACTCGGAGAGGGGCCGGAACCGGAAGTGGGGTCGGAGGCGGGGCTTGGTGAGTGCCGCTTCCGCCGCGGGAGGAGACTGGTTCAGGTACGCAGAGCGTTTGTTGGCGTGAGGGGTCGGGGATGCGAGTCCGGCCTCGGGCTGCCGCCTCGTTTGACCGTGTGGCAGAAGCCTGGGAAGCAGGCGCTCGCCCTGTAGTTGTGTGGCCCCAAACTCTTGATGCTGTTCCTTCCTGCTTCCCGTCGCTTTCGCAGCCTATGAGCCATACGGGGCCTATTTCGGGGTATTCTCGAGCTTGGGGCCAGGGTATTCTAGTGCTGAAGGTGCCGGAGGAGGAGAGCCGGCTTTGGTAGCTAACACCTAGCATGAAAAGCTAAGAGAAGAGTTCAGAGGCTGGTCCATCACTTAGCGCCCAGGGATATATTCATCAGGTGGAACATGGGTTAGAAGAGTTCTGAGGCCTCCGTCAACTCAGAGATGGGGGTGGAGTGGAAGATTGACTTATTCAGCAAGTCTTTATTGAGTGTCTGTTACGTACGAAGCCTGTTTCCAGGCACAGAGAATATAGCGAAAATACAAACATAACACTTGATAGGAGTGGGGACGTTCAGACCGAAAAATAAGTAAGGTGTGTGCCATGTTGGATAGGGAAAATTGGAATGTAGTGAGGAAGGTAGTAGTCATATAATTATCCAGGGGAAGAGGATTGAGGTAGAAAGAACAGCAAGTGCAAAGACCCTAAGGTGCTGTATCCTTGGTATGTTTAAGAAACAGCAACAGCAAGTAGACCAGATAGCGCAGACAACAATAGATGATCATTAACAGTCAGTATAGGCTATTGTAAGTGTTCAGGAAAATCAATTAGCAATCTATAATAGGAATAGAAGAGAGTTTTATTCTAGCCAAATTGAGGAGTGTAACATGGAGACATAAATTCAGGAAGCACTTGAAGTGTGTTCCACCAGACAACAAAGTGGGAGAACTTTATAAAGGTAAAAACTGCAAGGTTACAGTTAGTTACATGAGTTACTTATCATGAATTATAATTGGAGCTGGCAAGAAATAAGGGTGCTTATTAGTAAGGATTGGTTAAGGTCTGAAATGGTTGCATAGTTATGTAAGGAGATCTTGAGACTGTAACATTGCAGCTGACTGGTGTTACTCTGAATATGACTGATAGTGTCCGTGGGGGTCTGGTACAGTTCAAAGAAAGTTCAAGTTCTCAGTGGTGCAGAGACTTGTCTGAGACCAGATCTTCAATGGCCACCCAATTCCATTTTTGTTTGCCTGAACTCTTCCTCCATTTTAATTTCAATGGATCATTACAGAGATCTACTTTTTCAAAGACACACATTTCCTGCTATGTTGATAGCACACTGGACTCAGAGGAGTAGCCTTGAGCAATGGTTCTTAGTACTTCTTTTCCATATCTTCCTCAGGGGTTTTGAACACCACTTTGAAATTATTACACTGGTTAAGTGTGCTGTAACTGATTCTTCATATTTTTCTACCTCAGCTCTTCTGATGGATATTAACCATTTCCTCTATGACTATGACTTTCTGCTGTAGTAATATGTAAGTCAGAGGAGGGAATATGTAGATTTGAAAAATGAATTCTGATACATCACCAGCACCTTAGAATCCTTGGTTGGTTGGATTTGGACTGCTGTTTACCATAATTTTTGGCCAGCTCTAAACCTTCCAGGATGTTTCTAGCACAGGACTTTGCATAGAGTAGGTGCTTAGTAAATATTTGCTAAAAGGATGGTTTTGAAAATAAATGGAAACGTAATGGGATAGGTAGGTTTTACCATCTCTGTCTCACCCTCCACTCATAGATGCATTCCAAAGAACACAGTAAATGGACTGATGTCCCTGCAGCAGGGAATAATCATTGCTTGGGGGTGTCAGGGGCCGTGCCTGTCTTCTGAAGAGCGAATTTGGCTTCCTTCCTACTTAAAGGTTTCCGTGCTTTCATATTTCTCTAGAAGACACACAAGCTTTTCTCTGTGTTAGTATTTTACACACTCTACTCCTTCAGTAACACTGTTTGTCGTTTGGATATGGGGAGATACTTCTGCAAGTATAACAGTTCCTTCTTCTAATCTGGGTGATGAGGACAGAGGACTAAGCGCATGGACTGGAAATTGGAAGGGAGTGCTGAGGAAACAGAGTCACAGGAGCTGCAGGAGCATGAACTCGCCCTCGACAGCCCGGGTGAAGATGGCGTCTCTGAGAGCTTCCGGCTTCTGCAGATTGATGTGGGATGTGAGCATTGGGAGCAAGAGGCCCTGCCCACAGGCAGTGTGGCTTGGTGCTCGGTGAGTGGAGTGAGTTGCCTGGTCACGGTCTTTGAGATGATGGAATGTCCCAGGGGCCCCATTTTAAGGATAGATCCTGGTAACGAGAAGATTGGGAATGAGTTAGATGTATTCCAAGGGATGAGTTTCCTGTTACCTAGTTTAAGGTTTAATTTCATTTGGATCATAGAAGAAGTAAATTAAGTTCAAGAGGAATTTTTGTACACCTCAGAAAGGTCAGGAAATCTCAACCCTGTTTCTAATAAATTTACTGTGACCTTGGGCATGCCACTTCTCTTTTCTGGGGTTCTGCTTTCTCTAAACACAATCTAGTCCATTTTTGTTTTTAAGACTAACACCCCTTTTCTCTCCTAACCCTATATCTAAATTTGAAAAATACATAAGTAACTATTTCTAATATTCATTTTCCTTTCTGGTGCTTATGAAGTTCTCAAACAATTTTGTTTTCTGGATAACATAAGAAAAATGTCCAAAGAAAGCAGAGACACTGGGAAAAGATAGTTGCGGCAAAGAAGAGTAAACGAAAACAAGAAAAAGAGAGAAGAAAAGCCAAGCGTGTAGAAAATTCAGGTAGCAGTAAATTAGATTGTTGGTGCAACTATTAGTATATTTATATCTCAGCAAACTGGTATCTGCTTGTTGCTGGAAGAGTGGGGATATTGTTTTTAAGTAAAAACGTCTGGGAGATATGACCTATTGTTCTGTTTTTTCGGGAATCAGAGTGTCGAAGAAAGCAAAATTTGAGACTACCTTTCAGGTATAAGCGGCCTAGTGCATATATGTGTTTATAAGCTCAGAAGTAGAAGGAATGATATTAACAACAGCTAATGTTTATTCAGGGCTGTGTGCTAGGTTCATTGCTAAAAATTTTACCTGGTTTACCGTAAGGGGTAAGAACTTTTATTATCCTCATTTTCTTGGCAAAGAGACTGAGGTTCAAAGCAGTTAAATAACATGCCCAATATCATATAGGTAATAAATGACCAAACTGAACTCTGACTTAGATTCAGCAGTGTGTTCAGAGCACTGCTTCACTGTTCCGCTATACCTATACTGCCTAATGAATGAATACCTTGTGTGAGCTTCCAGTTTCTCTTCCTATGCAAAAAGTATTCACCTGGCTGGGGAGGTCTAGTGCTTACTGAATAATATTTTTCTGCTTTTCCACTTTGATTCCTCTCTGATATTTCTATCCTAGGCATCTACCCCCAGCACAGCAAACGTTTCCTGAGATCCCTAATCAAGGAAAGACTTTTGGAAGCCAAGCACTCAGGCCCAAGACTCTGTATCGATTTGAGTATGACCAACCACATGTCTAAGAAGGTAAGGCATGCACTGAACTCTGAGTGTCTTCTCACGTGAGAGAGGTTTGGGCGGGAGCAGCTCTTACACAGAGCGTGACCAGCTCCAGCGTCTAGGATTCTCTAGTAGTCCAGCAAATGTGCTTAGGTTTCTACACATGGCTGCTATTGTGTAAGTTCCACAATAAGTTCCAAGAGGGCTATTGTAAATAGGAAGGAATAGACATCCTCTGGTTTAGTTTAGAATTTTTTACCTTATATTCTGTGTTCATGGTGTCCCAAGTCTAGAAGGAGCCTTTCGGGTGTAATTCTCCAGAGAAATCTTTGGCTTTCTGCTAGGGAGAGGAACGTGTGCCTGGTTGCATGTTGCAGGGAGATGACCTAGTGGGAGGTCTTTCTACTCTGTAGGTGTTTTGTAAGCCCTGTTGGTGAAGGATGGCTTTTCCCCCAAGGATTCTGGGGGTGGCTGAACACACAACACTCCACACCAGACAGATAAGATTGATAACAGTTTATTGATCATATGTACTTATCTGGAAAGGAGCTTGACACTGCACACCATTCATGTGTGTGTGCACACATGATGTGCACACCATTCATGACACTGCACACCACATGGGATTGCGTTCAGGAATAGAATAAACAGCCAGGGGCCATAGAGGGCAGACTTTATAGGTTTCTGCAGGAAGATTGATTGGTTTGTTGGAATAATGCGGTGGGCTGGCAGGAGCATTGAAACCCATTAAAATGCCCTGGAGGAGGGCATGGCGACCCACTACAGTATTCTTGCCTGGAGAATCCCATGGACAGAGGAGCCTGGGGACACAGTCCATGGGGTCGCAACTAGTCAGAAATGACAGAAGCGACTTAGCACACACGCATGCGTTCAGGGATAAGGAGGAACCCTTTCTCAGAGGAATCCCTGTCATAAAAAAGAGTTGTTTGGCTTGTGCAGTGGAAGCAGAATTTGGAGAACTTGCAGCTAGGCCCTTCAGAGCCCTCTCATTTTCACCAGGTAACAAGGTGGCACACAGTATTGGACCTTGATTTGAGGCCTTATACCATAAAACACGTCTTTGTTTCCCATCGTCCCTGTTGTACGTGCTAGTGTCTGCATGTTTTTTAGAGAAATTAGGATCTGAGATTCTTCCAGGAAACCTCTAACTGTAGCCCACTGAAAAAGGTCAACCAAGAATTTTCTACTGTTTGTTTTCATTGAGATATCAGATTAAATCAAAGCCTAAGGTATTTTTTGTGTGTTTTTATTTTTTTCCTGTACTGAACCAAGTCAGACCAGATTGTGAAATGACCTTTCTTAAAGGGTTATGTCTCTGAATCGGGATGGAAAGTTAAAAATTCCAAACCTATGACATTTCCTGGAGTTAGGGAGAATGTGCCGAGTTTACCTGATGGAGTATAAAAATGCCTATACAGTAATCTAACCTCTTTTTAATAAATAGTAAACATCACATGGTAAGCTTTTTGATAAAAGCTAACAGAGAAACAGAGTTACAAATGTAGAAAAGAAACTTATGGTTACCACGGGGTGAAGGGAGGGGCAAGGATAAATTGGGAGATAGGAACTGACATATCCACACTACTGTGTATAAAATAGACACGTGATAAGGACCTGCTGCATAGCACAGGGAGCTCTGCTCAGCGCCTTGTGATGGCCTGTGTGTGGGCAGATAGTCTGAAAATGAGTGGGTTTATGCACAGATGATTCACTTTGCTGTGCACCTGAGACTTAATGCAGCATTGGACGTCAGCTATGCTTCAGTCGTTTTTTAAAAAGTTAAAAGAAATATAGATACGTGTGTACATGTGTGTTTTAGCCAGTCCAGAAGGAGGGAGAGGTCTTCGCGTTTTCACTGACTGGTTATTTCTGGGCTGGTATCATTACCTGAACTTTCACCTATAAGGTGTGAAGCCATGGCATGTAACACAGGTGCATACATACATGTGCGCACTTGTGGGGTCAAAGGGGCCATTGTGTTTCATGGGCTTTCCCGGAGTCGTGTTCAGTGAACTTACTCAGTAACCATTTGTTGGAGTGGGCATGTCACTACCTTAAGGTATCCTGGCTTCTTTGAAGGAGTTAAGTAGACTGGCTGGACAGATCCGAAGGTTGTACGGCTCCAATAAAAAAGCTGAAAGGCCATTTTGGATCTGCCTCACTGGCTTCACCACAGACAGCCCTCTGTATGAAGAGTGTTTGAGGATGAATGATGGATTTTCCAGTTATCTGGTAAGCCTTATTTTGCATATTATTTGAATTGTCATTTGAAAAGTAGGTTGGAGGGGATAATAGTAAGTTCTTTTAACTTTGTCATATTTTGATGTAAAAAAAATTTTATATAATTTATATATTTTCACTATTACAGTCTTAAAAAATTTAGAACCTCTAATCAGTTCTTACATTTAAAAATTTTCATCCTTCCCACTGCATTGGAAGACAGTATTACCAGTATCTAGGGCTGTATTTTGTGTCTAGTGTATTTTACACTAGACTGTGCATTACAGGAATGTTTTAGGGAAATGCTATGACTCCGTGTTCTAAAAGTGCAGAATTTGGAAACATGAGTTTTGGGGGGAAGAGAGAATCCTTATGGAAGTAATACGGATTTAAGGTGAGTTTTAGGGAGTATTAAGTGTTACTTTCAGTACTTTCCTTAGGATCTCTTAAATGTAGAGATTGATATGCAGGCAGGAATCCAGATGAGTGCCTAAGAAGTGACCCTGAAAGTGCCCTTGTGTTCGCATCGTGTAGCTGAGACTCAGTGTGACCTTTCCCAGGGAGGTCCTCAGAGGCCCCAAGTGTGAAAAGTGCCGTTTGCGTTGCTGCCCGTGGTGCTGTTACCTTAATGTCCCTCCTGTAATGCAGCCATTCCCAGCCTTATTTCTCTGTACGTGTTTTGTGATTCCTGCATATGAGCCAAACAGATCCACTCGAGGGCCCATGTAGTGCAGTCCGCTTGCTGCCCTGTCTTCATGTTTTTCTTAGGTAATTCCCTCCGGTTTGAATGCCTTTTCCTTCTGTGTGTGTTGGTCTCCCTGCTTTTCAGAAACCCAGCTCCAGCATCCCCTTCATGGCAAGGCTGTTCCTGGTGCTGTCACTCTGTCTGCAGGCCCAGGCCTGCCCCTGTGTGTCTGGCAGGGCCTCGTTACCTCTCTGTCTCATTTTGTAAGGTTGACTGTCTGCGCCCTTCTACTTCTGCGCCCCACCTGAGTCCTTTCTGAGAATAGGCTGTGAGACATGGATCCCCTTGATGCACCTGGAGCCAGGCCTGATAGAAACCACTGCATGCCCCATAAGGAACTGGGTGCTGCAGTGTGGGTGTGTCTTAACCTAGTAACACTACATTGGACTGTTTACATTTTTCAGCTAGACATAACAGAAGAAGACTGCTTTAGTTTATTTCCCCTGGAAACCCTTGTGTACCTGACTCCTGACTCAGAACATGGTATGTTCTTTATGCATTCATTGCTTCTAGCCCTTTATTTCGTTATTCCTGGTGTCAGAATTTGTTAAAGCCAGCCGTGGTGTATCCAGGGTAAAAAAGGAATGAACATTAATTGCACACCTCTTACGGATAGAGACCTCTCTGGATGCATCGTATTTGTCATGCCACATGTGCATGGCTGCACAGATTTAGTGTCTCCATCCTCAGCTGGGCCTTGTGAGCTACTTGGTAATCCTCCTGAGTTTTCCTGGTCACCTCCTTGCATTGACTCTTTTTGGATCAATGTTAGATAAATATTTTTTCCCCGAAAATTATCTATTTCACATGATTTTTATTAACTTGATCTCAGTAGTTGTCTTCTAATTATTTTGTATTTCTCTGAAATTTTGCCTCCTTTCTGAATCCTAATGGTGATTTGAGTCTGCCTATCTGATTAGATATGCCAGTGGTTTAATCTGTTTAATTGAACTTTCCAGGGAATTAGCAAATCTACTATCTTTTCATTTCCTATTTCATTAAATTTCTACTTTTTAGCATTAATAATTCTTTCCTTTTATAGTCTTTGGATTTAGAAATTATAAAACAGATTGATCTTAATGGCCTTTATTTTTTCATTAGCTCTTGCAAATGTTGATGTAGACAAAGTTTACATCCTTGGTGGACTTGTGGATGAAAGCATTCAGAAGGTAAGTGTACATTTTAGGCCTGATAACTGCATTTTGAAAAGTGAAGCTTTCTTTTAGAGGCACCTGCCCTGTCGTAATCTCACCCTAAAAGCATAAAGATCCAAAAGGAGTTGGAGGAAAGAGCCTCCTCTGCCTCGGTTGGCCCTCCTACTTTTTGCCAAGTTCCCTCTCTTCTCATCACCAATGTCAACAATCCTGATACCTGACAGAATCCAGTCAGGGTCTAGAGTGGGGAATATTTGGTAATTACATAAATAGCCATTACTGAATTCCTTTCTTCTCCTCTTGTTTTCAGTTCTGTAGGGATTACTCTGATCTTGACCAAGGAGCTTTTTTTTTTTTTTTTAATGGTTGGCTGTACTGGATCTTAATTATGGCGCATGAGATCTTTAGTTGTGACATGTGAGATCTGGTTCCCTGACCAGGGCTCACACCCAGGCCCCCTGCACTGGAGCCAGGAGCCTTAACCACTGGACTGCCAGGGAAGTTCCTACCAGGGAGGCTTTCAGCATTCTTACCAGCTATTTGTTCTTTGTTGAAAGAGTAGTTTGTTCCTTCTTAGGTCATCTTCCCTGTTGACAGATGTCTTACCCATAATCTCAACTGCAATAGAATTGTCCAGGTTTCTTTTGTTGAATTTGAATTTTATGAGAATAATTGGAGTTTTGAAACACACTTCTATTATACAAGTATTTGTTGAGATAACTTTTTATGCTTAATAATTAGCATATTCTGTAGATGTAAATGATGATATAATGCTTAAAATGTATAAAAAGGATCACAGTAAAAAATAAGTCTATCTCTCATCTCTGTCACCCAGTGTCTGCGTGTGAGGTAGCCATGGTTTTCTTGTGTATCTCTTGATATATTCTGTGACCACACAAGTATGTGTTTATGGGTTTTGGGGCATATTAAATGAATATATTTTTTCATATATGAGTATTTTTTCATATGTATGTGAGATACATACACATATTTAACACAAAGGATATTTAACTGTATTGCATTTATTCTAAAAAAAGTCAAGTGTTCCATGACTCCATAATGATAGTCTTAAAATAGGGGCAGGAGGTAGGGGTAGGGGAGGGCTGTAAAGAAGTCAGCTAATAAAAAAAAAAAAGAAAAAGTCAGCTAATAAATGAGAAACGAATAACAGAATTGAAAAATCATCATTTTGTCACTCCCATTGTAATCACTGATTCAGGGAATTGACTGAAAGAAAGGTTGTGAGGGAACTAACTATTCATGTGGTCTCAAAGTACCAGCCCACAGATTAGAAAGGCAAAAGTGTACCCTTACAATGAAGTGATCTGGAGTTCACCATCCTAACAAATGATCAGACAGAATCACCAGTGGTGACATGTACCTCCTTATGATGGAATCTCACCTGTGATGTATTCTTACTAGAAACTGTTTAAACTGAATTTAATCATCAACAGATCTAGGATGTGAGACATTCTGTAAGACAGCTGGACCAGACTTTGAAAGACGTCAGTGTAGTGAAAACTGATACGGCTACGGGGGCTATTTTAGATTAAAAAGACATAACAGCCAAATGCAGTCTCCCACAGCAGAGTGACAGCCCCTTTTTTGAAGCAGACAGTTCTAGAGGGCCAGTGAGCAGTGTGTAATATATAGATGCACAAATGTAACACACTGTCCTCTTTATTTTCCACCGACATTTAACCTGAAAAATAGCTGGCACAAAGATTTGTCAAAGGTATAGAACTTTTTGGTTGCTACTTAAGAGTTTGGCTTCTTCACTGCTGCTGCTGCTAAGTCACTTCAGTTGTGTCTGACTCTGTGACCCCATAGATGGCAGCCCACCAGGCTCCTCTGTCCCTGGGATTCCCCAGGCAAGAACACTGCAGTGGGTTGCCGTTTCCTTCTCCAATGCATGCATGCATGCTAAGTCACTTAAGTCATGTCCGACTCTGCGACCCTATGGACAGCAGCCCACCAGGCTCCTCTGTCCACAGGATTCTCTAGGCAGGAATACTGGAGTGGGTTGCCATTTCCTTCTTCACAGAAATATGCTAAGAACAACATCTATTCAAGGGGAATCATTTTATCTTTAAATGTGCAGAGAACAGAAACTAGACTGTAAACTCCTTCAGGGCAGCATCCAAGTCTCCTACTATGTACTCTAGTTCAAAGTGATTATAAAATAATGGAGTAGACTTTAATAACCATAGCTCATATATGCAAGAGGTTGTTAACTTTCAAAGAAGTCCTTTGAGTAGCTGTACCTTTATTCCATCTGAATTGCATCACTTAAAACATTTTTGGAAGGTCTTTCTTGGAATTGTGTTTCATGTGACTCTGAGATGCTAGTAGTCCAGTGTCAGAAGAAGGAAGGTGCTAGGCCTGCTCTATGCTGTTTCAGTTCTTTAGACCACATTCACAGTGGTCAGTCAATATGGGATGGTAAATGAAAAGACATTGAAAACTAGAACAAATTCAGAAGAGGTTGACCTGAATAATGAAGGGACTCAAAACTAAATCATGGTCAAGGAAAAATTGACAGAACTGAGACTGTCAGCCTGGAGATGAGAGGATTCACAGGGCATGATCCCTGCCTTTAAGTATCTGAATGGTCATCCTGTGGAAGGGCCATTTTACTTGCCTGGTATGGCTCTGGAGGAAAAGAACTAGAACAAATGACCACAAGTCTCAGAGGAAATAGAAAATGTGCCTCAATATCAAGATTCCCTACTAACTGCTACTATCAGAATTGGAATGGGTTACCCCAGGATGCATGAACTCCCTCTCCCAAGGGTTGTCCATTTAAAGCCAGAGGCCACCAGGCAATGAGGTCATAGAGGACAGACAAACATTGAGTGGGTGGTTGAAGTGGAATAGTTGACTGTCAAGGTCCCTTTCTAACCTGAGTATGCTAATTTTCTCAGTAATATAAAACTTTAATCCTGAGATTCCAAATGCGTAGATGACTTTCCTAGATCTTCTTAAAAGGTAGTGAGTATAATTTAAACTTCAGTCCATGACTCAGGGACATCCCTTAAGGGACATTAATAACTGTACTCTGCTGCTAAATGGCCTCAGTACTCTGAAGGTAAATGACCTTGGATTGTTGGATTTTTTGAGTTTTGTCTCCTTTTTGTAGTTTTCAGAACCTTGCCTTTTCATTGGGCTGTATGTTCTTATACCTTAATGCTGTCTTGTTACTAGTGGTGTACTTAACTCGAATCCCGTCTCCTTATTTCTGATTTGCTGCTACCAGTTGGTGGTGGCTGAGAACTCCAGATATCCAGAATTGGAGCTTACTGAGTTCGGGCTAGCAGTGTTCTCTGATTGATTAGACTGCTTGGATTTTTGGATGCAGGTTGTGGCTGCAGATATGCCTCTTTTTACTTCCTTCCTTCTTGGTTGTATTGATATGTAGCAGCAAGTAGAAGCTAGCAGATAAGTGGCTTCCAAATAAGTGAGTTATTGCTGCATAAGCCATTTCTTACTTGCCAGAAATAAATACTCTTCATTATCTGCAGTTTCTTCCTATTTTTTAAATACACTTATCATTTAATTATGATTACAGATGTAAATGGTAAATGAGGATTCTGACAATTTGCTCTGCTGCATATTACATTGAGAATAACTTCATGTATTATTTTTATAAGAAAAATGTGTGTGATTTACAGAAGGTGACACTTCAGAAGGCCCAAGAACACTCTGTTAAGACTGCCCGCTTACCAATCCAGGAATATATGGTCAAATGCCAGAGTGGGAAAAACTATCATTCAGAGATACTGACCATCAATCAAGGTACTTCTCACATGGCCCGCGCTTAGCATATGTTAGTCGTGCTCCTGTTTCTGTGCATTGTGTTTAAGTACAAATGGCCCTTGAAGCAGCCTCCCGTGACTGATGTGCTTGGACTTTATTGTATGCGCTTTGTGACACGTATCCTGGGTTTTGCATTTTCTTCCTTATTCACAACTGTGTTAAAGACGGTGGAAGTTGTTCCTTTGTCCTAGTATGCCATGCCTTCAGCCTGTCACTGAACAGTGAATTCCTGTTTGTCCTTCATGATTCCATTCATGGGCGTCTTGGTGGCTCCCTTCCCCTTCCGGGCCTGTCGGGCCCCTCTGTTGTGTTCCTGTTGTACTGTGTTCCTCTCTGCTGCAGCATTGTCCATTCACAGGCCTGTATCTCTCAGTGCAGGCCGAGATCCTTGTAGGCAAGCAGGGCCTTTGTCTTTGCCTGTCTCCCCAGGACCTGGTACCATATGTGGTGGAGTAGACTTGTTGATTGAAATATTCCAGAACACGTTATTCCTTGTTGCTGCTGCTAAGTCACTTCAGTCGTGTCTTGGTGGTACTCAGCTGCCTCTACTTGGCATCTTGGCTCTTCACTGGGATGAAGAGAGAGCAGAGCACGGTGGTGGTACTCAGTTGCCTCTACTTGGCATCTCGGCTCTTCACTGGGATGAAGAAGGACCACATTTTATGCTCTTTTGTATCTCCCATAGTGCCTGTCTCAAAGGAAGTGCCCAGATACATGTGGACTAGCTAGAAAGTTTACATTACAATGAATTAGCCCTAAGACTACATGGCTTTGGATGTGTTTATTCATCTTTTTATTTATTTTTTATTCATCTTCTGTACATCTATTTGTGAAGTACCTACTCATAAGAGTAGCTTAAATAAATATTGTTCTATCAGGAGTTAAATTTTCACTGCACAGGCATCAAAAGCTGCATGACTTTGTCCAGCCATCTCAAACATGCTGCTTTTCCCCAGCTCAGTGATGGGCTCTACAGACTTTGCAGGGTCAGCCTGTCCTAACAGCCCTGCTTTAAGCCCCCATAGCATTTGCTCCATCTGTGGCTCCTACTGTCTCCCCTATTCTGAGTATGGGCAATGAGTATTTCTCTCTTCCTAATGGTAGCCTTGTAACAATTTGTGGCAGTATCTTTGTATCCTTATGAGCTTTGTACCAACTAGATTCTTCATATATACTTGTGATTAACAGGTCAAATTGAAAAGCACACAGTATTGATGTCTAACTTGAAGAGAGAAAATACATTGTATCTGACACAAGTATGTTGGGTGACCTAAATCTCAGTGATCCCTTTTTTCCATGTCCTAGTCAGGTAGAGTTGCTTCAGTTACTCTAGCCAGTTTGGGTTAGTAAACTTGGTAATTTAGCTGCTAGCAAGTTCAGAAAATGTATTCTGTATCTCAGAACCAAAAGGTTACTTTTCTGCTCTGTCCCCTCTCCACAGTTCCTCAAGAGCTGTAACCACTTGATACATTTTATCAGTGTCTTTTTACTACTTACAAATGGTTGGGTCTTCAGGAAACATCTTTAGGAATACATAATGCTCCTTGGTCTTTGTCAACCTACTGAATGTGTTCTATAATCTCTGTCATACAGAAGGCCGATGGATAGGCTTCAGGGGTCTGTAACTCTATATATATATATATATATATATCCATATATAACCATATATGGATATATTCTCAGGGAGGTCTCTTAAGAACCACTGACTTGGATCATCTGTCAGGCTTCATTTTCACCTCTAAAGGCTTTGCTTTAAATACAAATTTCCTATCCAACTCCATCACAAACCTCTACTGTTTTTTTCAAAACCAACAGGTAGTTTTTTGTTTGGCTTCCCAGAAATAATTTTAACAAAGTAAGATCTGGCTTGACTTGGAATCAGAGACCTTCATCATAGTGTTATCTATAGAACAACAAAAAACTACACCTATCTAAATATCCTAGAACATGAAAATGAAATATTATACAATTGTTGAATTTTTAATAGCAAGCACAAAATATATTACATGTTGCTTGAAGTGGACAAGGTATATAATAAAGTGATATATAAAGTATAATCCTGTAGTTCCAATTTGAAAAACATACATTCACATATAGTAGTTGAGAATATAGGCCAAGTTAATCCATGCCTCAAGTTTCTTCAACTAGAAAGTTAAATGTCTGTGGAGTTACTAAGAATAAGTGAATCAATCCATGCAAAACACTTGGAACCAATAATTGTTAGCTGCTACATACCCACTAACTATGGGATTACAGGTGGTTTTTGTTTGCTTTATATTTTTTTATGTATTCTGCATTTTCTTTGGTGAACATATTTTACTATCAGAAAATAATTTTATCTTAATGCTCACTCCCACTTACAGAAGCTACACTCTCGCAAAGTAAGGGAGTTAACATCAATTAAACCATAACAGTAACTTTAGTAAATGTTATTGTCAAAATCAAAAACCTACATCATGGCTTCATGATTTTTCTCACCCATAAGAATCTAGGTGGCAACCAGTAACTTTTTTATAAAAATATTTTATTTACGACTGTAATAGACAACATGTACATTCACATCTGGTTTCCTGAAGATTTACTGGGGAATTCACCTGAGAAACATCTTTCCCAGGAAAACCTGTCTCTTGGTTCTGCTGACCCATAAAAAAGGCCACATAGGTCTTCAGCTCTCTGCCAATCTGGAGAAGATTTGTTTTCTTTGATCTGTTGTCATGTGTTCACAAGCTTCTAAAATGTTTGCCAAAATCAGAGTCTGCTGAATGGTTTTTGCCTTAACCCATATTCTTCCATTCATTCCAAATACTATCTCCATGGGGTAGAGTTTTCCCACTTCTTGTAGGATTTCGCAGTCTGGAGCCAACAGCCTGGTGAAGAAGGGAAACAAAGCAAAACTTTATGAAGTGGCAGTGTGTGCCCTGACTTTACTTCAGGGGACTCCTCTTCTGGGCAGTTCTCCACAGTCACTCAGAGTTCTGTCAACATCATCGCAACAAGGCACATGAAAACATTTGCTCCCCTTTTCCTTCCAAGAAGCTTTATAACCTACAAGTACACCAGAGGTCACAATGGTGGGCTATCCTCTACAAAGAAACCAAACCCTATGCCACCAACTTTATATATATATATAAAAATATATAAAGTTCTTCCTTCACATTGTCAGAGCACCTTAATGCTAGACTTTAGAACTGTAGCTTTTTTATTGTTTCTGGTACTAAAAGAACACTTTAACCTGTTTTCCTGACCATGTAAATCATTCTTTGGTATTAAATTCAATACTTGGAGAAGAGTGTTGACTCTTTCAAACCACAAAATGCTGCTTGGTTAATAACATGCTTCTTTAAATGTCTTGAACTAATTCTGCAAATCTGCAAAATAAGTAGCAGAGAGAGATATACAAGATAGCTGTGAACCTCAGTAGCTTTAGGAGTAAAGCCCTTTAACAGGGCATAGCTTTGGGTAGGTAAAGATCTAAACCTAACAAAGAGAATCTGCCTTTGGGAACTATTAAAAGGACAGTAAAGCAGGAGCCTTTTGTGAATGTCTGCATAAGTCTGAGGGTCACATCACTCTAGCTTAATTTGGCTCCCATTATAATAGAAATATGATTTTGTACAATAATAAATTGGATCTGTATTCAAGTGACTTAGAAGGGGGAAGGCCAGTTTTCACATTTGGTCTGAATATATATAAGGAACAACTGAACTACCAGCAGAGAAGTCCAGATTTCATATCAACACAGAAACTATAATGACAAATATGTCTGAATTTTATGTATTCACATTGAGAGGATGGGGGCTAAATGCAAGAGTTAACAACTGTGCTAAAATGGATAATGATTTTTAACTTTGAGGAGATACAACCATTGTTATAGCCAAAGATTAGTCAGCTTTCTAAGAAGGTATAATATAAAAGACAATAGGCAAGCTGGAAAGCATCATACTTACTTTCTAATTAAGCCCAAAGTCACTTTAAAAAGCAGACCATCCTGTCCAATCACACCCATTCCATTGGCTCGTCCACAGCTGTCAATACAGACCATCTCTGGTTCCATATCTTTATTAGCAACCACAAATTGGCCATAGATGAGATCTCCAACCTACAATGATAATTAAAAAACATCATTTCCTCTCAGCAAACCATGCTATAGGTGCTGCTGTTGGCTCTTTTCAACAGGCATCAATGCCACTCATCTACAATTCTATGGCTAAACAGACTACACTCCAGGATTCTCACAGTCCCGCTGGAGTTGGGTCTTAAGGCAGAATTAAAGCATGTACCCTCACCCTTCCCACACCAGAAAATCCCCAGATCGGGAGCCTCATCAAAGCCAGAGAATACCCACTGGAGTTACACTGTAGACTACAGTAGCCACTACTCACGTGCAGTTATTTAAACTGACATTTAAATTAATTAAAACGATGTATTTAAAATTCAGCTTTTCAGTTGCATCAGCCACACTGCAAATGCTCAACAGCCACGTGTGACTTAGTGGCTCCCACAACACTCAGTGCACGTGTAAAACAGTAGCATCACCGTGAAGTTTTACCGCACAGCCCGGCTTTAGGAAATTACAGAAGAAATCCCTGGCATGCAAATTACTCAAAGCAAAACTGGTAATCCACTGACTGTTCTCCATACAAGAATTACTTTAAAAACCTCAAGAGTTGAACTTCAAAATGACGAAAACTATGGAAATGGAGAGTAAACTTGTTCATTAAGTACCAACAGCTGTTGGTGACTCAAGGAACTGGGGAAAGAACATTCTCTGCCTTTTAGTTTCAGAGGGCAGTGGGGATATATATGTAAACAAACCTCATTCACAGCTGAATCCAGTAAGTAAGAAAAACGACTGAAAATCAGGGATGTTTTTACAGGGGGGGTAGTGGTGCTCAGCCTGGATCTTGAAAGACCAGAATGTGTTCCACAGGTTGAGAAGAGGATAAAGCAATCCAGACAGAGGGAACAGCATAAACAAAGGTACAGGAGCAGGACATTATGAATTCAGTGGTGCTCTTAAATAGTTCGGTGTAATTCAGGCAGGGCCACATGGAGATGTAATTATGGATGAGGGAAGACCTCTGGAAATAGTAATATGTAGGCTTTGAAGAAAAGGGGATGAGAGGCTGTCAGCTCTTAAAAGCCTGGATAAAGGGGCAGAAGTGTACAGGCAGGATGCTACTAAGGAGAGGTCACTGACTTAAGTCCAGTCAAGAGACAGCCAAGGCCTGAACTTGCAAAGTGGAGATAAAGGGGTGGACATGTGGCAAATCAGTGAGACTTGACACGAGGGATGAGTGAGAAAAGGCAAAGAAACCTCCAAATTTCTGGCTTGGACGGACAGGAAGTGTGTGGCCCTCCAACCTGAAAAACCCAAGTTGAAACTTGAAGTAGCAAGACTGCTCCTCTGTCAGCTCCAAAATGGGATTGTTGGGAAACAGTGATGTAACTGAGATACAAGTCCCAGGACCCACATCCAGGAAAGATGGATGAGTGATATGGCGATTTCCACCACTGTTCCCTCC